GGGATCGAACCAACAACCTTCCGTTTGGGGGACGACCCGCTCTGCCTCTGAGCCACAGCCGCTTTTTGGGGAAAGCATTTGCCACCTTACAGTGCAGTCAGGAATATAACAGAGATAGATTGCTTGGATCAAAGATACTCAACCAGAATCAAACCTGGGACACTGTGGTCATGTTATTCATTCTAACCAAGCTTTCAGTGTGTTGCAGTGACCTTTGTAATGTCTATGTATATATAGCTAATGCACACAGTATCATATACTTACTTTGGATACACTGGCTTTCCTTATTGGTTAATATTTCAATGCTTATGAAGTAAAACTAGGATCATTCAAGACCAACAGAAACCCAAATCCACATTCTGAGACATTTTAAAGCTTCGGTGTTGAGTGAACAGCTTGTTTAGAGGACTCATTATTCTCATTTGAGGAGAATACACCATCAGCTGCATTATTATCCAGGTACCTGCAAACATCATTATGACTCACAAAGCATTTTAGCAGTTTTTTATTTTTAATCATCTATCATTTTTTATTTAGTTCTTATGAACGAATAAAACAGATTTATATTCTGCTATTCATAACAACTAGTGGGTAATTTATCTTATGAGAAATTATCACTTATTTCTAACAATGTGTTCGTACTGCAGAAGGCTACGATTAATGTTCTCATTTTAAATTAAATAATTAACTGAAATTAAAGGGGCACTCCAAAAATTTAGCCTTGTTAAATCGAGGGACTCACAGGAGGCAACTAATGAATCTTCACTCTGTGTCGCTAAAAGTTGCAGATTGATTGACGGGTGAATGTCGTGATATTATTGGTTCAAATTGGTTAGTACATGCTAATGTAAGCACGCGTCACATTTTGTTTTACAGGGCAACAAAATGATTGGATTTTGATATAAAATACAAAGAAATTGAGTTTTTGTAAATGTATTGGCATACATTGTTAAATAGGGGTACAATATAACCGAGCAATCGTAAAAATTACACTTTTCATTTCACCTGGACTTTAACATGCAAGCTCAATCCAATATAACCTAAACTGATCGTCAGGGTTATCTTTTTACAGAGGGAGCAGTAGGCCTTGTGACAGCATGTGTAAGCTTGGTGGACTACCACTTTAAAACCTTATGAAAGCTGATGAATTCCCCTCGGGATAAATAAAGTATCTATCTATGTAAAAGCTTCTTTTTATCAAAAGATTGGGTGAAAACATATATTATTCTCTATCATTCCGAGTCATCTCATTCCAGTTTATCTTCCACTTTATCTTATTCTGGTTTTTTGAGGTAGTGGGAGCACAGTAAACCCCCATCCCTCTGTGCAATAGAGGCAGCCTGCCCCACGAGGCGTCCCTCTGCTGTCCTCTGGCGGCCGCCCCACATCACAGCGACAAAAACAGATCGTCTACCGTCAAAACTGCTGGAAATAAACCGGGAAGAGTCCGAATCGGCCTTAAGATGCATAATTGAAGGAACCTGTGCATCTGAACTGGTAGTTACACCGGAAGTTAGGAAATGACGGCCACTCCTTCACTAGCCCCTCACCATCATCCCTCCCTCCACCTCCAACCCAACCCATAGGAAGATCACTCTACTCACTCAAGGACGCGCCCCCCAATACACACTTTGCAGGAGAGAGAGAGAGAGAGATGCAGGTATTAACGGGAGGTAGGGAGGGAAGCGCAGTTGTTGCTGGCCGTCGGGACACCAGGAGAACAGGAGGGGATGTGTTGTTGTTGTGCCGATGGCTGTCTTTCTTTTTCGTATAAGAACTCGCCACTTCCTCCAAACGGAGACGCAGGTGTAGCCTCTTCAGCCTCCCTCCACCCTGCTGCTACCTATCCCAGTTTTCCATGCGCCGCGCCTCTCCTTTCCAGTCACCAAAGGGGGATTTTACGCGCCGGAGTGGGAAGAAATAACACCATGTTAAATGAAATGTGGCGCGTCTCTTTTGTGCGCCGTACGTTACCGCGGCTGTGAATGTGATGCCGGCTCTGCACTCAGCACAGATGACTTGAACCGGGCGGCAGAGGCGGTTGCATCTCTTTCCTCTACGTCTCTCTCCAGGCTGCCGAGAAACAGGGGCAAGACAACAGGGCACAATACAAAATTAAGTACTAGCAGGCAATGTTTTTAGCTCTTCCGTCGTTAAAGCCCAAATACCCCCTGACTGCTGCTCCTGCTGCCCCAGCTGGGCAGACCTCACGAGTATCCGTCTTGTATTGATACTTTGGATTCAACCTTTCCAACACCTCAATGAGTTTCCCTAAATGAAATGAGGAAGGAAATGAAATGGTCCCCCTGAAGAGAGAGAAGAGAGAGAGGAGAGAGAAGAGATGAGAAGGAGAGAACGAGGGTCGATGGAGGTTTCTTGACCCCAACCCTTTAAACTGGCACACCATTCTCGTCTACAAGGATTGCAAATATCAAACGATATCGCTTGAACCATCTCATACAGAAAACCCGATGTACATCTGTTTTGGCAGCATAAAGGTTACTATAAAGTCAGTAGTGCAGGTAGTCCAGACACACCTGGACCAAAGTTCCAGGTCCCAACAATATTCAAGGTCAATTTTCATTTAATCCATGAGGGTGGAAAAAGGCTACAAAATCTACTAAACTCCAAGAATGTCCCACACACACACACAGAGGAAGATAGTGCGACAGGGAGAAACTGCCACAAAAACACTGAGACTAGATCGTCCTGCCATTCTCTAAGATACACACATGTGGAGGGTGTTTTGTGTGTGTGTGTGTGTGTGTGTGTGTGTCTACTGCTGTGCGCGTGTAGTCTATGTCCTATTGTGCAGAAGCGCGAGCGAGGTGGGCTTGATGGAGGTGGGAAAAATATGCTTCGCCCCTTACCCTGGTCAGGCCTGTTATCAATGAGTCTTTCTCTTTATGGAACAGTGCTGTAGCGGATCGGCCCACATCACAGCGGACAAAAAACAGATCGTCTACCGTCAAAAACTGTGTAAATAAACCGCGAAGGAGTTCCGAATCGCGCCTTAAGATGCATAATTGAAGGGAACTTGCATCTGAACTGGTAGTTACACCGGAAGTTAGGAAATGACGGCCACTTCCTTCACTAGCCCCTCACCATCATCCCTCCTCCACCTTCCAACCCAAACCCATAGGAAGATCACTCTACTCACTCAAGGACGCGCCCCCCAATACACACTTTGCAGGAGAGAGAGAGAGAAGAGAGAGAGAAGAGACGAGAGAGAAGAGAGGACGAGAGAGATGCCCCAGTCCGCGTATTAACGGGGAGGTTAGGGATGGAAGCGCAGGTTGTTGCTGGCCCGTTCGCGGACACCAGCAGAACAGGAGGGGGATGTGTTGGTTGTTGTGCCGATGGCTGTCTTTCTTTTCGCTATAAGAACTCGCCCGACTTTCCTCCAAACGGAGACGCAGGTGTAGCCTCTTCAGGCCTCCCTCCACCCCTGCTGCTATATCCCAGTTTCCATGCGCCCGCGCGCCTCTCCTTTCCAGTTCACCAAAGGGGCGATTTTACGCCGCCGGAGCTGGGAAGAAGAAATAACACCATGTTAAATGAAATGTGGCCGCGTCTCTTCTTGTTGCGCCGTACGTTACCGCGGCTGGTGAATGTGATGCCGGGGCTCTGCACTCAGCACAGATGACTTGAACCCGGGCGGCAGAGGGCCG